CGGCCAACATTCTGAAATGTACACTCTGATGGCATTTTTTGTTACAAGCTGTCAACTGGTATTTTCTTATAGCTTACACATTGGTGAACAAGACTATATATGTTGGCACCTCTGATTTTGGCTTTATAGTTGAAAATTTCAGAATTTTAAAATTTTGCCTAATAAAGTACTATGTTGACTATAAATACAATATTTCAAGTTCATTTTTCACAAAAATAATGTATACCATTAGAAAGATCGCAGAAAAGTATATATAAGACATTTAAGCGAGTAGTGCGAATTTTCAAGCCAGTTTTGAATTAAAGGAGCTTAAAGTTGGCAAAATAGTAACTATCGGCATCAATTGGCGTTTTTTTTTCATTTTCCAGTGTTAAAAGCACAAAATTGGCTACAAAAATCATAATACTCGTTTAAATGTCTTATATATACTTTTTTGCGAACTTTCTAATGGTATAATTTATTTTTGTTAAATGTGAACTTGTAATTTTGCATTTTTCTCATCATAGTACTTTTTATAGACAAAATTTTCAAATTCTCAAATTTTCATCTATAAAGCCAAAATTAGAGTTGCCAACATGTCTAGTCTTATTCGTTAATGCATATACTCTACGAAAATGTCAGTTGGCAGCTTGTAACAGAAAATGCCATCAAACAAATTTTGTTGCACATTTTCCGGTTTTGGCCGGCCGTCTACAACGAGCAAAAGAGCGCCCGCCCTAGCGAAGGATGCTATGAACATGCTTTTCTCCTAGAGTCAATTGTGAACGATGCCCGACGACAACCGCGGCCCCTGTGCCTTGCTTGGCTTGATGTGCGTAACGCCTTTGGCAGCATTCCCCACGATGCCCTCCTCACCACCCTTTCCCACATGGGTTTCCCTGCAGATTTGGTACAGATGATTGGCCACATCTACACTGGAGCTACCACGGAAGTAGTTACCCCCCTTGGCAAAACCCAACCGATACCGATCCACTCTGGCGTCAAACAAGGATGCCCCCTCAGCGCCATTCTTTTTAACCTCTCCATGGAACTCATCCTTCGTAAGTGCATCGCCAAAGCCCAAACTCTACCACGTGGCTCACTTCAACACCATGGACAATCTATCTCAATCTTGGCATATGCTGATGATCTCGTCATCCTCGCCCGCAACAAAGACACGCTGCAGTCACTCCTGAATGCGGTCTCCTCAGCTGCTGATCCCACCCCTTCCCTAGTATCCAATTTCCTGTCCAACACTCCCGACCGCAACCTTGAAACCATCCGCTACCGAACAGGCTCCCTCTGGACGCGTACCCGACAAGCCACAAAGACCATCAAAGTTACCATCAACGTCCCTGACAATGGTTCTCCCTCCCTCAGCGCTCCCAACTATGCTGATGAAGTGGCCCCCAAAGATGTGTGTCGCTTCCTCCATAACGTCGAACGTGAGCATGCGGCCCAAAACCTTCGTGAATTACGTGACCAAGGCAAGGTCCCTCGTGCTCTCACCACTGACAAATTCGCCAATGGCTCCAACTGGCACTTCACAGGCCTCAACATCCGATTTAAAGACTGGAGGTTTATCCACCGTGCCCGCCTGAATTGCCTACCAACCAACTCTGTCAAAAGTCGCTGGTCCGATTGTTCCTCCTCCTGTCGCCACTGCGAAGAAGATGAGACGCTTCCCCACTTGCTGTGCCATTGCCCTTCCAACATGCCAGCCATTACCACCCGCCACAATAAGGTTGTAGACCGTCTGACCAACGCTGTCCGTGCTGGATCTGTTTCAACTGACAAAACTGTACGCGATAGTGGTTCTCCAGTTCGACCAGACATTGTTATTGAATCCAACTCCCATGTCACAATCATCGACGTCTGCTGCCCCTTCGAGAACGGTCCCGAAGCCCTTGAGGAAGCTGTAGCATGCAAAGAAGTGAAGTATGACCACCTGAAGACCTTTTTCGAATCCCAAGGCAAATCATGCGACATCTTTGGCTTTGCTGTTGGCGCTCTCGGTGCTTGGTTCCCTGGAAACGAGCGTGTCCTTACTGCCCTCAACATGACTTCTCGGTACAAAAACCTTTTCCGTAAGCTGTGTTGTTCCGACGTCATCCAAGGCTCAACTGACATCTACCGCCAACATCTGGGTTGCGACGATGTCCTTCCTTAAATATTTTGTTTTTATGTTCACTTTAAGCAGTTTTCCAGTATCCACCTCACACTTATCATTTTTCCGACTAACGGACAAGCGCACTTTATAATTTTGATTTGCCAACCCCAGGCACCATTTTATGTTTTTTATACATATGACAAGCACAACTAGGACCAAGTTAATCAGTTTAGGACTCATGAACACTAGGACGCCACTAGGGCAACATAATAGGTACACATGCACACTCAGTTAAACACACGATTGAAAAGATATGAATGTTTTAGCCCCAAATAAGAACTCTGTTCTTATCAGCTTAATATCTGATATGTTAGGCAATGCCTAACTCATATATTAAACTGATTTTTGGACTTCGGCCATGGGATTGAAGCTTGCTTCGCCCTGGCCACGGGTTGTCTCGGTATTGCACTACATCCGAGTACGGCCCCTTCCCCACTCGGGGAAGAACATTTTTTTATTTCAAATCAAACTATAAAGCAATCTCTAGTTTATTAGACGATTACACACACTTAAGTACTTTTCACATGCCGATAGCTTTATATTAACACCATACTCGAATACCACGTGAAATAATATATCACGGCTTTCTCATGCATATATAACATACATATCATATGACTTGTAACACTTTATTATTTATCCTATGTTGATATTTCACACCTTGTGAGCGTGTTTTCATTCGGCTATGAACCGAATCAACTACATCTAATTTTACTAGCATACTTTTTCATTCTCTAGATCGCGGCACATGACGTTCAAGACAAGAGGGAAACCCCCGAAGTACCACAATCGCGTGTCATCATCATCGCGTATATAAGGTGAGCGGCGCAAACAACAGCATACTTACCTGACGCGAGAGGCACCTTGATCAGCTAGGAGGTCCTCTCAGGATGAGGCCCTTTCATTGCACTTCGACTGGGTTGACTCCTGCGATTACCCCTAATGTGGGTAACTCGAGCGTATAATTTCTGGTAGTGGGGACCTGCGTTCGCGCTTGTCCCCTTCAACATATAACATAAATGTATAAAAAGCCGTTTTTGCTTCTAACACTGCTGCCGTGTGTCGATTGTTTTTGTATAGAATCAGATGTCAAACATATCATTTATCACAAAAGACACTCTATATATATTCTCCGTGTCGAAATCTCCATCTCCTGTTCATATGATATGGTAAGTAAAGCTATACACGTTTATATTTTGTAAGCACTTGGAGTCTTTGCACACTATTCAATTGATTCGCTGTATAAAGTCACTTGCTTGCCAACGGAATTTCAAGCCATCGCACGTACATTCCAAGTGCCGATTAGCTGGCTCGCATGTCACTCAAGCGCACGTGTTTTGCCGGTCAAACTTATAGAATACCAAGTAAACATTTATTCAAACATCGCATTATTTCACGGTGCGTGACCCGAAACCTTTCCGGGTCACAATGCAATTTGCGAGCGAAAGAAGCTCGACGCATTCCTGGATCTTTAAGGAGCGCGAAAGCCGATACGTTCGCAACTCTCGTCTCGCGGTCCATGCCACATGGCCGCCGTGCCCCTCTCCACGACCGCACGCGCGCGCGCGACAGCACCGCGAGGCTCGCGGTGGGCTATCACCGCGGACTTGCCGTGCTCGTGCGACGAGTAATCAGGCGCCTGTCGACGTCATAATCGCTCGCAAGCGAGCTCCTTCTCACCGCGTTTTCGTAGCACAAGTGTTCGGTAGAAATATGTGTGGCAGACGGCGAAGAAGGCATCGCTTCTCGGCCTTTTGGCTAAGATCAAGTGTAGGTCTTAGTGCTCTAGCTAATTTTTCAAATTTATAACAAAATTTTTGTTTATAAGGCCATATCTATGTATTAAATTGTTTGTAAAAGACTCGTGTACCTGTTTGTTGGATTTACAAAGTGATATTGCATCGTTTTAAAGTTTTATTTGAATTTATTTGTATAAGCTGGAATAATTGCCGTTCGTACGCTGTAATTTCCGAAAATTGGGTTTTGGCTAATTTCTCGTTGAATACGTTTTGGAATCGAGTGAAATTTATTGTGTGATCTACGTTCTGTGTTTATATTATCCTGTGAAAGTTTGGTATTAGTACGTCGTTTTGTCTTGGAGTTATATGGATTTGTTCGTTTTGACCGTTGGATAAATTTTGAATTCAGACCTGTATATTTTGTTCTGTTCGTATCGTCGTTTCACGTTGTATTTGCATCCTCTATACGTCAGTCCTGTTATTTGTCGCTGGATTCAGTTATGGTTCATTGCTGGGATCATTTTGATATATAATTCTGTACTGTTGTGTATTATTTCGTACTGTTTTACGTGTTTTTTTTGGAGTCGCGGACTGTTTAGTTTGTATTGATATAGTATTGTTTACATCCCGTGGAATTTAAAGTTAAGCGTATATCTCGGGTTCTACTCCAGTTATATTCCTGAAACGTTGCTGGTTTATAGTTATTATATCTGTTAACATCTACACCAAGTTTGGAGTTTATATCTTTAAGAGAATTCAAACTACGGGTTTTGTTAGTCATTTTCCAACGGTCATTTGGTTTCGCTGGCAATTAATTATTATTCAAATATTCATGATATCGGGCTGTACGGGGAATCCCCATAATTTTTCATTGCGTCACATCTAATTAATTCATTATGGAATCGCGTATCTTGTTATTTTCGTCTTGTATGTACATTTAACTTTGGATATGTCTAGTAACGTCTCAAATATCTGTCCTGTTGGGGTTTTTCATTGTAAAGAATGTGATTTTGTCTCCGATTCGCAAGGCGGCCTTGGTGTTCATCGCGTTAAAAAGCATAAAGCTTCCAATTGCGATAACATTCATTCTGTGTCTGTAATTTGTGAATACCCTAAGGGCAAACCATTTTATTGTTGTATTTGTGACACAATTATTAAATCTTGGCCAAACTTTACAAGACATTTCAGAGCTATCCATCCCGATATTCCGCTTATTACTTCTGCATGGTGCACATGGTGTGATAGACAATTTAAAAATCTTAAAGCAGTTGGTGTACATATGAAAAGAGAACATGACATTTCCTCATCGACGATTATCCCTTCCGATGAACCGATTTTGTCATCTGTTAATTTTGTTGATAGTCAACTTTCAAGTGGTCAGCAGTTATATGATAACGGCCCCCCTGCTGCTACACAATTGCCAAATCGTGTTAACACCAGAAGACATGCCCGCAAATCTAATTCCAACCATTGCCTCAAAGACCCCTCCATTCCCAGTACATCAGACGGTCCCTCCTCTAAACCTCCCTTTGGTCCCGCTACTTCCACAACCCCCTCATCCCAATGTCCTTCCTCTATTCAACCTTCCCTTGATCCTGTGGTCGCCTTTAATGGTTGTACTGCTGTTGACAATCCCCTGCCTCCTAATAACCCCACCACTCTTGACTCAACGGTCGCCTTAAATGGTTGCACTGACGATGACAGAATTTCCCGTATTCCCGATTCACCTCCCACCCCCAAATCCCAAGACCCTCTCCCCAAACGTATGTCGCGCAAAAAGAGGAACTTGAAGAAACGTAAGAACAAACCCTACTCTCCATCTCCTGTTTTGTCTACTGTTGCTTCAACGAGTAATACCCCCGCAGAGGTTTTTACACCCTCGGTTGAGAACTCGTCACCATCCACTAGCTACACACAGCCAACTATGGAGGACATCACAGTTGCTGAGGATCCCTTTCCATCTTCATCCTCTTTTTCGAGTAGACCTTCTTCGCCATGTAATCCAGAAATGGATCGTGTTAGTCCCTCTTCTCAAGATATCATCAATGAGTCAAATGATACGTTCCAGATCCCTCCCCCCCTTTCCCCTCATCGATTCATCTCTCAGTCCGCTGAAGTCACCAACGACCTTCCTTCCAATCCTTCTTCACTCATGTTTGACACCGTTCCTCCCCCTGCTTCGAACAATAACGATTCCCAACCCGGCTTCCACTCCCATATCGCTGGTAACTGGTCAGCTACCTCCCAAGCAGTTGATTCAGATTCTGAAGCAAGGGTCTCCTTTACTGGTGATACTGTTGTGGATTCATCTGCTCCTGTTGGAACATCGGAGGAAATCCCATTCCATCCAAACCCGGACATCGAAAATGTCTCTGATTTTGTCAATATTTGGTCGAGCAAAATATCATCTGCCTCTGACTTTGGTGAATTTAGTAAGGTTTGTGACGATCTTGCATCGGCTGTGGTTGAGAAGGGTAAAGGAATGTCGAGCAACACCTCTGGTAGGAGAAGATTTCCCAGACCAGCTCCAAATCGTCCCAACCGCAGTTCTCCCCACCCGCATAGATCCAGATTGCAAAATAATCCAATCGAAGCAAGACGTCTCCAAACCCTATTTCGACTGTCCAAGAAAAGAGCGGCTCGTCAAGTCCTTAAAGACAATAACGTTGTCTATTCGGGTTCTAAAGATCAAGCTTTCCAATATTTCTCGGATACGTTTGCGACAAAACATGTTGACATTGATGAGTTGGTCCAATCCCTTCGTGATCATGTTCCATCTGCCAGTGAAGATCCTATCCTCATGGCCCCATTTACGGAGAGGGAAATCAGACGAAAGTTAATGTCAATGTCTAATTCTGCACCTGGGAAAGACAAGGTCGAATATCGTCATTTGAAACTTGTTGATCCCGGTGGTCTGTTGTTACAATCAGTCTTTAATCGTTGCCTATCTGAGAAAAAGATCCCTCTCATCTGGAAACATGCTACCACAATCCTTATATATAAGAAAGGCGATAGCAGCGACCCTAGTAACTTCCGTCCAATTGCGTTGATGTCCTGCATATATAAGTTGTTCACCTCCCTGATGGCCGCGAGAGTTTCTCAATTTGCTGTTGTTAATAATCTAATGTCGCCCGAGCAGAAAAGCGCTAGACCATCAGAAGGATGTCATGAACATACTTTTACACTTCAATCAATAGTGGCTGATTGCAAGAGGAATAATAAGAACTGTTTCTTTGCTTGGTTAGATCTCAGAAACGCATTCGGTAGCATTTCCCATGAGGTTATTTACTCCACCTTAACCCATATGGGCTTTCCTGATTCACTGGTTGATCTAATAAAGGACATATATTCGAACGCAACTACATCCATTAAAACCTCGAAAGCTGATGAAACTGACCCTATTGATGTTAATGCAGGAGTTAAACAAGGCTGTCCCATCAGTCCAATATTATTCAACTTATCATCCGAACTATTAATAAGATCCATAGTGTCAAAATGTAATGAGAATTCGGATATTGCTTTTAAACTTCATGGTCAACCTATATCCATTTTAGCATACGCTGATGATTTGGTGTTAATCAGTCGGTCAGGTGAAGGTCTTCAGGAAATCCTCGATGACGTTTCGCGGGCGGCAAATGTCCTGTACCTGTCTTTTAGACCAGATAAATGTTGCACCTTATCCCTAACCTGTGGTAAAAGTGAAGTCTCCCGTGTTTCAAGCAATGTTTTCAAGGTTCAAGATCAAGAAATTCCTTTCCTTACGAAAGATGAATCCTTCCGCTACTTAGGGGTCCCGATCGGTTTAATATACGACGCCAGTGATATGAATTCAATATCAGATAAATTAATTAAAGACCTGGAAAAAATCCGTGATTCCCTTCTTGCGCCATGGCAAAAGTTGGATGCCATTAGAACGTTTATCCAACCGTGCCTAACTTATGCCCTTCGTGCTTGTCCAGTTAAGAAACAATCGCTAGTTAATTATCGTAAGAAATTGGTTGAGGTTCTAAGATCCATATGTAATCTCCCAAAAAGATCAACAGTCAGTTACTTCTTTGCGAGTAAATCGGTCGGCGGTCTAGGTCTTCAGGACCCTTTTGACGAGAGACATATTCAAAAAGTGGTTCAAACCATTAAGATCTTATCCTCAAAGGACTCCCTAGTTCTCAATATTTCTCATCGTCAACTGAAGTCCGTGGTTTATCGTTGTTTTCATCGTAACCCAACAGATCAAGAACTAGATCAATTTCTTTCCGGCTCTAACGAAGGAGAACTAATTAATCATAGTCGTGCAAATAATAGCCAGACATTATGGTCTTGTTGCAGAATTTCGGCGAAAGCTTTGAATATCAAAATAACTGATGCCTTATCTAATCCCACCATAAGTGCCAATGATACCACCTCGGCGAACGCTAAGTCGGTAGCATCGTACCTTCACCGGTTATGTCTGGAGAAACATGCCCAAACCCTTAAATCATTACCCGATCAAGGTAAAGTTGCCAGATGCCTCCAGACCTCCAAATTTCCATCTACAAATAGCTGGTGTTATGATGGGACCGGCATACGTTTCTGTGATTGGCGTTTTATTCATAGAGCCAGATCTAATACTCTCCCTACAAATGACGTGAAGAGCAGATTTTCAAATGAGAATTCTCCAATTTGCCGTAATTGTCACAGCGCGAGTGTTACAGAAACCCTTCCACACATCATCTGCCATTGTCGTCCGAATATGCCTGCAATTACCAAAAGACATGATAGTGTATTACAACGGTTGACAAATGCGATTCATCGTGGTACATATACGGTTGATAAAGTAGTCCCAGGAGCTCCCGGTATGAACAGACCAGATTTAGTGATTACGGACAACAATAAAGTAACTATAGTCGACGTAACTTGCCCGTTCGAAAATGATGAAAGTGCTTTAATTTCTGCAGCTGAAAGAAAAGAAGAAAAGTACAATTACTTGATTGAACATTTCCGTTCTCTAAACCTTCAAGCAAAAGTATTTGGTTTCGTTGTTGGTCCTCTCGGTGGTTGGTTCCCCGGAAACGAGAAAGTATTAGATGAACTATATATAAGCAAAAGATATAGAACATTATTTAGGAAATTATGCTGTGCAGATGCCATTAAAGGCTCTAGAAACATCTATGTGGAACACCTGACCGGTGTACCACAACACTAAATATATACATAACGAACAGCTATTATTAGTAAACTTACCGTAATTCAGTTTTTCAAACCTAGATTTAGGACCGAAAAGTTAGTTTGAAATGAACATTATCAGTTTTTCCATGTATATACATATTGGTGTATAAATTAGGTTTCAATCCAAATAGTTAAGGCATTTAATGTAAATAGGCTTTCTTTATATGTAATAAAAATTTCTGTTCTTATCAGCTTAATATCTGATATGTTAGGCAATGCCTAACTCATATATTAAACTGATTTTTGGACTTCGGTCATGGGATTGAAGCTTGCTTCGCCCTGGCCACGGGTTGTCTCGGTATTGCACTACATCCGAGTACGGCCCCTTTCCCACTCGGGGAAGAACATTTTTTTTATTTCAAAAACAAATCAAACTAAAAACAATCTCTAAATTATATTAAACGATAACACACACCCTTAAGGCTTTTTCACATGCCGATAGATTATTAACACCATACTCGAATACCACGTGAAATAATCACGGCTTTCTCATGCATATATAACATACATATCATATGACTTGTAACACTTTATTATTATCCTATGTCGATATTTTACACCTTGTGAGCGTGTTTTCATTCAACTATGAACAGAATCAACTATATATAATTTTACTAACATACTTTTTCATTCTCTAGATCGCGGCACATGACGTTCAAGACAAGAGGGAAACCCCCGAACTACCACAATCGCGTCTCATCATCATCGCGTATATAAGGTGAGCGGCGGAAACAACAGCATACTTACCTGACGCAGGTACTTACATGCGTCAGGTTCTTCACCCTTGCAGTGGAGGATCTATGCTTGGAACACGGTCCATAACTCTGCTGTCAAGGTTATCAACTAGCTGCAGTTCTTTGTGCAGACACGCCCTCGTCTTTGTTCTTGTCTTCCGGTTGACTGGCCAGCCTAACTTGTTAGGTGTTTAGGTACCAACCACTCCACTTCTTTTTTCTCTTTGACTGCTTGCCTCGGTCTTCGGATCGTAGTCAAGTAGTTTTCCTGGCTGTGGGACTGGGTGATTAGCACCCAGCACAGTCTTAAGGCCGCCAGTACCAGTGTTTTTAGTGGTTTTTACTAGGTAGTGGTGACTAGTGTGTTTCTGGTTGTTTCCTGTCGAGTGGTCTAATTAGGGGATCACTCAAAGGAAGGCTGTCTTTTTTGGTCTTCGTCTTTGCCTTGTTGCGGGCACCAGCTTTGGGCTGTTCTTGTCCGTTCCCTGGTTATTCCTTCTTTTTTCCTGGGTATTTTGTGATTGCCGTGTTGGTTCAATCACTGTTTGTGGTGCTGCTCCTTTGGTTACGGGGGGTAGTTGTTTGTACCTGGGATTTTGGTGATTGTCTTTGGTTTTTGGTGCAATCACTCTTTTGTCAAGTTTTGTGCTGGTTGTTTGGGCGCATATTAACTTGACCTTTGTTCTTTGGCGATTGCTTTTGTACTTTTTGGCGCAATCGCTCTTTGGCAGTTGTTTGTACCCTTTTGGTACATTTGCTCTTTGTGCCGTTGGTTTTGGGCGCATTTGCTTTTTGCGGTTGTCTCTGTGCTTTTGGCGCAATCGCTCTTTTTTAGCGGTGTATTAGTATATTTATTTATATCTATATATCTGGCTTTTCCTTCTTCTATATAAACGGTGGTCGCCTTCAGTGGTTGTACTGCCTGTTTTATTAAGGATCAGTCAGTTCTAGTGTTTCGTAGGCGCAGCGGATTACCTCTGTTGACCTAATTATTGATTTCACTAATACACCTAAATACGTATATATATTACATATCAACTATGTCATGCCCTAACTTTACCGCGGAGGATTTTGCAAAGTGGAATCAGACAAGTTCCTGCTTTCGCCTCCCCAAACGGTTGGTCAGCAACGACACCGTTAAGGATGTTAGGGTGGCATTAATTAAGGCCATTGGGGCTGACAGGATCTCTGCTGTTCAGGCTTTGCCTGACCATCAGTACAGGATCCAATTCACCTCTCCCTCCTACAAGATGGGATATGACCTTAATGGTCTTAATTTTCACGGTGTCAACATCACACCAACCCCGGCATATGAGCGGCTCATGAATGTCTTTGTGGACAGGGCTCCTCTCCATATGCCTAATAATTATATCTCTTCTTCTTTGTCCGCGTACGGCCGTGTAGTTAGCGTTCGTGATCTTTGCGTTAAGGGCTACCAGGACATTCGCACTGGGACACGCATGGTCACCATGTCTCTTCTTCGGCCAATTCCTGTGGTCGTTAAGATCGCAAATTTCCCTTGCTCGGTCCGTTACAACGGTCAGCCACCTTATTGCCTGGCTTGTAACACTTTTGGGCATTTCGCCCGCCGTTGCCAGCAGGGCAGGACAAAGAAGCCACCATCCAATACTTTGCCTTCATCTCGCTACCCGGGTAAGATCACACGGACGAAACACATCCGGGAACGGAGGCTGCTTCAATCAAGCAGTCACCTGTCTGTTAGTAAGTCTCCTTCCTCCACTACAGTGGCTGTTGCCCAACGCCATATAGTCGAAACATCTGTGGTTAGCACGGATGTTTCCTCTCAGGCACAGCCTGCTGTAACCACCAGTAACCGCTTTTCCCTCTTGGGGGATGAAGTGGACGATCTAGCGTCCCTTGCCGGGACCGTTGTAGATCCGCTCGCCAGTCCTTTGCCTCCCAACAGTGCTGCCGAGCCGGTTGGCTCCGCTCCTCCATCTGTGGGCCACATTCCTTCGGGTACTAACTCACCTGTACCTTGTGGTGCATCTGTGGCACCTACTTGCCAGTCGTCTGCTACTGTGTCACCATCTGAGCCATCTCTGCAGCTGCACCTCTCTAGGAGTGAACAGTCTGTTGAACCTGTTGCCTCGCTCCCTCCGCCAGTTATTGGCGCTGTTGACCCTTCTCCTACTGGCACTCCTGTGACCCACACCCCTGTGTACACAACTCCACCTGTGCCTTCTTGTGAGCCTGCATTAGAAGATGCTGCTAGCTCTGAGGCAGAATTTTCTCCACCTCCCATCCCTTCTCGTCAGGCTCTGGCTCCTTGGCAAGCTTCTGGTTCCGCTGCTTCTCCTGCTGCGGGCTATGCTCTGGCTGTCTTGTCAGGCTCTTCTTCTTTGCTGCCATTACGGCAGGGCGCGCTTGAGTTTCCTGACTCGCCAGATCTTTTTTCTCCACGGAGTTCTGATTCTGAAGGCCGGTTAACGACGCCTTCTAATTTTCCAGTTTCTCCATTCTCTCCGTGTTTTTCATCGGGCGACTCCTCTTTGGCCCGATCCTTTTTTTCGGAGGTGGACGATCCTGCATCTTTGCTTCCTTCTGCTTCCGAGCAGGTGGATGTTTTAGCTGATCAGTCTTTGGTCAGACTTTTTAATAACAATCACAATAATGTATAACTTACTTACATTAAATATAAACGGTCTTAATGACCATATAAAACGGACAGCTCTAATTGATTGGCTGAAATGCATGCAAGCAGATATTGTTTGCCTTCAAGAGACGCATGCATCCTCTCACAGTACCATCTTGAGCTGGTTCCGTCATTCTGGTTTTCGTGTGGCCTCATCTTCTGTTTCAAATAAACGATGTGGGGTCGCCATTTTAATTAAAGATATATATACTTTTACGCAGGTTCGTAAGGACGACGATGGGCGATTCTTGCAGGTCGAGATCGCCATCGAGGGAAATAAGTTACGCTTTGTCTCCTTATACGCGCCAAACAAGAACCCGGCGCGCAACACTTTTTTTGCCAACCTGCCAGATTATATTGATTTGGCAGTACCTACTTTCCTTTGCGGTGATTTCAATGCCGTCCTGGACCCGGACTTGGATAGGCGCCGCCATCCGTCTTACGCCGGTCCTTCTCGGGCGGCCACGGCCCGCGAAAGTGTTGCTGCCTTACAATCCTTGCTTTCTGCCACGCATACTTTTCCTGTGTGGCGCACACGTCATCCTGCTGAGCGGATCTTCTCGTGGGATCATGCCTCGGGTAAGTTTTCTTCCCGAATCGACATGATCTGGGCACCTTTGGTCTTGGACCAATCGATCACTGACTGCCAGTACCATACCTCCTTTTTCTCTGATCACCGCTACATGTTGCTCAAGTTCCATTTGGGTGACGTGTTTGCGCGTGGTCCGGGGGTATGGAAATTCAATACGTCGCTGCTGGACAGTCCGGAATATTGTGCCCTGGTTCGCTCTTTCTGGGCTTTTTGGAAGACGCAGGAGTCCTCTTCCACCTTTTCCTCTTCCCTTGATTGGTGGGATCAAGGGAAATTTTTTCTTAGGGAAATTACTCGTTGTTTTGGCCGTGCTCGAGCTGCCGAACAGTCCAGGACTAAATTGGATCTGGAACGACAGCTCAAGCGCTTGCAGCGTTTGTTTGACGCCGGTGATTCTTCTGCCTTCTCTCAACTTTGTGCTGTGCAAGAGGAGCTTCGTGCAATACATCTTCATGAAGCCAAGGCCTCGCAAGTACGTGCACGCTGTCGATGGGCCGAAGAAGGCGAAACATCCTCCTCTTTCTTTTTAAGTTTGGAGAAAAAACACCGGGCCAAGCAGGCGATTGCTAGTATTCGTGACCCCGACACAGGACTCATTCACCATGATCCATTTACGATCTTGGCAACATGGCGCACCTACTACCAACGCTTGTTCACGGCTGAGGACTGCGATCGATCCGAGCAGGACATCATGCTGGGTCGTTTAACTCGCCGTTTGAGCAACCCGGAGGTCGAGTCCTGTGAAGGGGAGTTATCAGAGGCGGAATGTCGCGCTGCTCTTCATGGCATGTCCCATGGCAAGACGCCAGGTTCTGATGGATTCCCGATGGAATTCTTCGTTTCTTTTTGGGACCTTCTTGGTCCAGACCTTGTTCGTGTCCTGAACCTCGCTTACACACAAGGTCAATTATCAACTTCACAACGTCGAGGCATCATCATTGTTTTGTATAAGAAGGATGATCGCCTCGAAACTAAAAATTATCGCCCCATTAGTCTGCTGAATGTGGACTATAAGATTGCCACTCGGGCTATTTCTGGCCGCCTATTGGGCGTCATTGGTTCGATAGTCGGTTACGACCAAACGTGTGGTATTCCGGGTCGCACCATCTCTGAAAATCTGATGTTAATTCGTGACCTCATTGAGTATGCTGATCGAGCGGACGTCCCTCTTGCCATTCTCTCTTTAGACCAAGAGAAGGCTTTTGATCGGGTGGACTGGTCCTTTCTGCAACGCATCCTCTTCACGTTTGGTTTTGGCGCTTCTTTTCGCCAATGGATTAATTTATTTTATACAAATATTGAGTCTGCAGTCGTCATTAACGGCTGGACTTCTTCTTTCTTTCAGCCTTCTCGCGGTGTTCGCCAAGGTTGTCCTCTTTCGCCTCTTTTGTATGTGTTGTGCATTGAAGTGTTGGCATGCAGCATCACAGCCTCGCCTGCCATTGAGGGTGTTCCTCTACCAGGAGCGGATCGGGTGTTTAAGTGCTCGGGGTATGCCGATGACACATCCATTGCGGCTACCACCAATGCTTCGATGCAGGCCACCTTCGACACATATGCCCAGTACGAACGGGCTTCTGGGGCAAAGTTGAACCGTGGCAAGTCGAAAGGCTTGTGGTTGGGTGCCTGGAAAGATCGGCAGGACACCCCCTTTGGCATTAAGTGGGTAAAGGAGTTGTCGCTGTTGGGTGCTACCGTCAGTGCCGGCGACTACTCTACCGCCACTTGGGAGGCTCCAGTAGCTAAGGTTGAGCAGCGCTTGTCATCCTGGAAGGGGCGTCAGCTTACCTACCAGGGTAAAGCAACCGTCATCAATACCTTGGCCCTCTCCCAGATATGGCACTTGTGCCATGTTTTTCCCATCCCGGCGTGGGCCAAGAAGCGCATCACCAAGGCTACTTGGGGTTTTTTCTGGTCGGGTCGCCGTGATTTGGTTGCCCGTCGAACAGTTTGTTTGCCGAAGGGTCAGGGTGGCTTTGGGGTCATCGACTTTGACCTGAAGGCGAAGGCTTTTGCCATCCAGTGGGTAAAACGTTACTTTGCTCCCACACCTGCTAAATGGAAAGCCTTTTTTAGTTTCTTTTGTTTGTCCTGTTTGTCTGTCACACCTGTGGACGTGTTTGCCACTCCCACTTTTCCGCGCAATCTGATTGCCCTTCTTCCTCAGTTCTACCAACATATCGTCCGGGCCTGGTCCCAGTTCGATGGTGGTGCTGTTGCTGGCATTCTGTCGCTGGATGTCAATTCCGCTACGCCTCGTCCACTCGCCGAACTCAACTCGCATTCGACGTATGTGATCAGCCGTCGTCTCATCACACCCCAGCCCCATTGTATCGGCAAGTTTCTGCCTCGGTACGGCCCGCTGCACTGGTCCGAAACTTGGGACCAGATCCATCTTCAGTCCTTGGATCGTGCAGTCGTCGACGTGAACTGGAAGATCGCCCACGGTGTCATCTACACCGCCTCCCGCCTCGTCACCGGCTTTGGGATGGCAAACATCGATCTCCAGTGTCACTGTCGTGCCGATGCAGAAACTCTCGAACATCTCTTTTTTGAGTGTCGATACGCCTGTATCTTGGTCGGCTGGGTCTATTTCAACCTGATGATGTACGACGGCTCGGCAACACCGTTCACTGTCGACGAGTTGTTGTTCGGTTTCTCGCGTGCGAGGCGTCAGCGCATCCCCCAGGTCATCATCTGGATGCTCCAGTTGGTGAAACATTATCTGTGGGTTGCGTGGAATGACTTCCGCTTTCGTTATCAACACCGCACCGAAGCGGATTGTCTGAAGGCAATCATTGCGCGCCTTAAATTTCTCCTCAAAGTGCTCGCCGGCTGCTGTCGTTCTCCTTCTCAAATTCGGTCGTTTGAGAAGCAGTGGTTGGCCAATAAGACTCTCGGGCACTTTGAGGGCGAGAAGCTGGTCTTCTCATTTTAACTTATTTCCCTAGGTTAGCTAGCCTCGTCCTCGTTCTGTGAACGGGGGTCGCCTTCGTTGGTTGTACTGCCGGAATCGGTTCGTCGTCTTCTTGTGCTAGCTGGCTTAGTCTTTTCTTTGCCCTTCCGTGAACGGCGGTCGCCTTCATTGGTTGTACTGCCCGGATCGGTTCGGTGTTCTTGTGTCTTCTTTTTAGCTTTTTTAAAGCTTTTTTAACCTAGCTTAGCGGTAGCTTAGCTATTTTACATTCGGAAGCGTAGCCAGATTAGATTTATGATCTAGGTCTAAATATACCATTGTGCCGCGTCAGAATAATAAAGAATGGCCGGTATATTTAGAACGGAGGTGGGGATCGTCCCCCCAGTTGTTTGCGTGCCGGTTGCGCCCTCCGAAATCCGAGGAACCCATTGCACGTCTCCCCAGTGGGAGCGGGTTTGTCACATTTAAACATAAAACTTACCTGACGCGAGGTACTTTCTTGCGTCAGGTTCTTCGCACATGCTGAGTGAGGATCTATGCTTGGAACACGGTCCATAACTCGCTCACAGGTTATTTACTAGCTGCAGTTCTTTGTGCAGACACGCCCTCTTCTTTGTTCTGTCTTCCGGTTGACTGGCCAGCCTAACTTGTTGGGCATTTAGGTAGCAACTAGTCCAGTTCTTTTTCTCTTTTGACTGCTTGCCTCGTTCTTCGGATCGTGGTCAAGTAGTTTTCCTGGATGTGGGACTGGGTTGTTAGCACCCAGCACAGCTTAAGGCCGCCAGTACCAGTGTTTTTTGTATATATAATTAGGTAGTAGTGACTAGTGTGTTTTCTGGTTGTTTTCCTGTCGAGTGGTCTGACTAGGGGATCATTCAAAGGAAGGTTTCCTTTTGCTGTTCTTTGTCATTGCTTCTATTGCAGAGAGTTGAGGTCTTGGACCAATATAGTCTGTTCCCTGGCACTCGTTCTTCGGCAAAGGACACGTTGTTTTTGTAAATAGTTTTATTTGTAAGTGCAAGGTTTTTTGCTCTTCAGTTGGGAGAGTTTGTTGCATTTGCGATTTTACCTGTTTGCTTGTCTGTTGTTTTAAGACAGGTACGCGGGTTTCTTTTAGGTGTATTAGTAGGTTTTATTAGTTTTTCACGTATTCTGGGAACGGTGGTCGGCTTTAGGGGTTGAACTGCCTGAATCAGTTTTACTTGGGGTCCAGCTAATTTTCCTATGTGTTTTGTGTGACAGTTACATCTCTGTTGACAGTTTTTTCTAATACATCTTTGTTTATAAACACACATTTAATATATTTTATAACTATGGCAAGTCGCCAATTTACCAAAGAGGATTTTGCCAAGTGGAACACCACAACATCTGTGTTCCATGTGCCCAAACGGTTGGTAGGTAAGGGGAAAATTCCTCAGCTAAGGGCTGATTTTGTAAAGGCAATTGGAGCGGACAGGGTTTCGGCAGTTCAGATCTTGCCAAACCATAAGGTTCGCGTACAATTTAAGTCCCCCTCCATACGTGTCAGGTATGATATTAATGGCCTGTCGTTTAGAGGGGTAACTCTAACGCCATTTCCCGCATACGAGGAGGTCAAGTCAGTTTTTGTAGATCGTGCTCTTCTTCAAATGGGGGACAATTATCTTTTTGAGGCATTGGCGCCATATGGTCGAGTGATTTCTGTCCAACATCTGACGGTGTGTGGTTTTCCAACCATTAAAACCGGCACTCGAATGGTGTCAATGTCGGTACATACGTCTATACTGGCGGAATTAAAGGTTGCTGGATTTACTCTGGCCTTTAGATATAGGGGTCAACTTCCAACTTGTTACGTATGCCAGGAGGTGGGGCATACGGCAAAGGAGTGCCCCAAATTGTGAAAGGCCGCACGTAAGCAACCTGTCCGCAAGCAGACTGGTGCACAGTCTGCTAATAGTAATATAAACAAACCCTCACAGCAGCATGATGTGCCTCCTTCAACATCACAGGAGTCACCTGCTTCCTCAAAGCCACCTGCTGACCTGAGGGACAAACTAAATAAGGCTAGAGCACACCAGTGCTAAAAGAGGTCCAAGTTGCATTTGAGAAATCACTGTGTGATTTACGGGATAAGTTGATCACCCATCGCAACGCTACTCCCTTGGCCCCTTCCACTCAGGGCTTTGACCTAGATTTGTCTGTTCGACTGCCCAAGACAGCTCCATCATCGTCTTCAATGGTGACTGACTTTGGTTGTAAAGTCACGGCAAAGCCAGGCAAACAGTTGGAAGTTGTTGTTTCCAACCCGGCTGCTGCTGGCCGTAAACAGGACAAATCTAGGCATGTCTCCTCTAGTAGTGAGGAGAGTGATGATAGTTTGGCAGAGATGTCAGTTACCCCAAAGCCTCGTTCAAAGCGTGTTAAGCGTAGTGAAAAATCTCAAAAACAATTGGGAAATAAGGCGGTGGGGCCTAGTAAGAACAATGCTGATGTCGCTTCTTTAGGCCAAACTCCTATCACAGAGGATTGTCTTGACGGATCCACGGTAATCGATCCAATAGCACCCCTAGATGGTGAGGAGATGGAGGCCCAGTCTGCGCCTGTGCCACAATTGCCGACTGTCTCATCTTCAGTGTCTGGTGCTGACAATCCAAAAAATTTTGTAGCCGAATCCACTGAGGATTCGGTGAGTCCTAGCGATCCGCACTGTCACTTGTGTCCCCCTCAGGACATTCCTTTGTCAGAGGAGGTGACAATGGAAGAGGCCAATTCGAACTGCGGTCCTCTTACAGACGATGATATGTTATTTGATTTCGAATCATGTCAAAGTGGGTCCGATGTAGAATCTTTGTCAGAGGCCAGTACGACTTCAAGTCTTGAGGAAGCCGCTGAATTTACTGAACATCTCCTTAAGGATGCTGCCGATGCTTCACACAGTCTGGAAGATGCTGCCACCTTGTTGCAGACACTTGACAGAGCATCAGTTGCTAAGGAAGATGGTTCCTCTTCTTTGGACCATTAACATTCAATCTCTTATCGTTGAATGTTAATGGTCTAAGTGACCGCTTGAGAAGAACCGCACTTGTGGACTGGCTTAAGTGCATGAGGGTTGACTTTGCGTGTCTCCAGCAAACACATGCCTCATCGCACAAGTCCATAAGAAAGTGGTTCTGTAATACGGGTTATAAGGTGGTATCCTCGTCGGTGTCAAATAAATCTTGTGGCACGGCCATTCTTGTAAGGGATACACATAAGGTCAATAAGGTCATTAGGGATGAGGAGGGCCGTTTTGTGCAAGTGCATTTGGCGGCTGACGAACACTTGCTTTCTTTCGTCTCTCTGTACGCCCCGAATAAGAACCCGGAGCATAATCGGTTCTTTTCCTCAATCCCAGAACTTATTGACTTGAGTCGCCCCACATTCATTTGTTGGGATTTTAACAGTGTCTTGGACTGTGCATTGGATCGGAAGCGTTGGTCAACTTACACTGGGAGCCAGACGGCTCAATATCAGGAAAGCGGGCCGGCATTACAATCTTTGCTTTCGGCTACCCAAACCTATCCGTTGTGGCGAACATTACATCCAGGTCAGACGGCCTACTCCTGGACCCATGGGTCTGGGCAGTTTGCTTCACGGATAGATATGGTTTGGGCCCCCACTGTTTTCCAAGACAACATCAAGGAGTGTGAATACCATCCCTCCTTTTTAGGTCACCACTCTTATTTGCTGGTCAAATTTGAGTTGAAACAGAACTTCAGGGGTCCAGGGGTGTGGAAATTCAACAGCTCCCTCTTGGATGACCCCGAGTATTGTGACCTCGTCGCGTTCTGGCAAAGTATGGAGGGTTCTGATGAGTACTCTTCCTTGCTGGATTGGTGGGACCAAGGCAAGTACTATCTGAGAGAGGTCACTCGTACATTTTCCAAGGCTAAGGCCGAGGATGGACGTAGTCGAAAGTCTTCCCTAACACGACAAATGCATAAGTTGCAACGCCTCTTCGAGGCCGGTGATTCATCTGCTTTTGCGCAGCTTTGTGAGGTGCAGGAAGACCTACGTACAATAGCGTTGCACGAAGCCCAAGGGGCACAAACGAGAGCTAGGTGCCAATGGGCGGAGGAGGGGGAGTCCTCCTCGTCCTATTTCTTTGGGCTAGAAGCCAAGCATCAGGCACGCCAGAAGGTGTCGGCTATTCGCGACCCCGTATCGGGTCAGGTGTGTCATGACCCTATTGACATTTTGGGCATATGGCAGCGCTATTATGCCTCCCTTTTTACTGCTCAGCAGTGTGACGCAGTCGCACAAGATGAAATGTTGACAAAGGTCACACGCAAGCTTTCCCAGGGGGAACGTGATGCTTGTGAAGGCCTTTTGACTGAGCAGGAGTCTTTTTCCGCCTTGTCAGGCATGCCGCATGGTAAAAGTCCGGGGTCGGACGGCTTTCCGATGGAGTTCTACCTGCGCTTTTGGCAATCCTTCGGCACTGATCTGGTCCGTGTTCTCAACGTTGCTTACGAGACTGGCCAGCTTTCCACCTCTCAGCACCGGGGATTGATTATTATACTATATAAAAAGAACGACCGTTTAGAGACGAAAAACTGCAGGCCGATAAGCCTCCTAAACGTAGATTACGAGATTGCCACAAGGGCAATCTCAGGTCGTCTTCTTGCTGTGATAGGTACGGTGGTGGGCACCGATCAAACGTGTGGTGTGCCTGGTCGTACAATCTCAGAAAACCTCTCTTTCATTCGCGATCTGATCGAGTATGTCGAGCGTGAAGATCTGCCTGTGGCCCTTCTCTCTTTAGATCAAGAGAAGGCTTTCGACCGAGTGGATTGGGGTTTTCTGTTATGCATTTTAGATCGTTTTAATTTTGGTCCTAGCTTCTGTAACTGGATCAAACTTTTTCACACGGATGTAGAGTCAGCAGTGGTAATTAATGGCTGGACCTCTACATTTTTTAAACCATCTCGTGGTGTGTGTCAAGGCTGTCCTCTTTCTCCTCTCCTCTATGTGCTCTGCATTGAAATTCTAGCAGTCAACATCCGTACGTCACCTCGTGTTACCGGTGTGTATCTCCCCGATTCCATCGAGCAGTACAAATGCTCTGGATATGCGGATGATACAACGATAGCAGTGACGACGGACGAGTCGATCAAGGAGGTGTTTAACATCTATGACACCTTTGAGGAAGCATCTGGTGCAAAGTTAAATAGGGGCAAGTCAAAAGGCATGTGGCTTGGCGCTTGGAAGAGTCTAACCGATACACCTTTTGGGTTATCGTGGGTAAAAGTACTTCCTCCTCTTGGTGCTAGCTTTAGTGTGGGAGATTACAGCATCCCCACTTGGGAAAAGCCTGTTGCCAAACTTGAATCCCGCTTGTCCGCCTGGTCTGGTCGTTCGCTCTCCTTACAGGGCAAGACGACCATTATTAATAGTTTGGCGCTCTCGCAGATATGGCACTTGTGCCACGTATTTGCAATCCCAGCGTGGGCGTCCAAACGTATCAAAAAAGCTCTTTGGTCCTTTTTTTTTTTTTTTTTTTTTTTTTTTTTTTTTTTTTTTCCCATTTAAA